AACAATGATTATTTTGATTTAGTATTATATCTATGTTAGGCACATAAAACGCAGACCCATATCCTTCTACACTCTTCGACCATTCCAATTTGGTCATATGAAGTTGATTGCAGATTTTTATGAACATTTAGCAGCCACTTATCATCAGCCACTTTTTTAAAAGGTCACTAATTATTGATACAACATTAATGCAAATTCATATGTCAGGCACGTTTTTTTTAAATAAGTATTTTTTACTGTTTCTTGTGTACCGGTTATTCGATCAACTTCAGTTTAATATTCTAAATGTAACTAAATATCCTTTTCCCTATTTTGTAAGTACATCCAATTCTAACCTGTACTTGAAAACATGAGATCGTTAATCAGTTAAGAGTTAATATCGGTTACTGATGCAACAGGATTTCCATAGTCTAATAATTCACGTACCATTGTAACAGACAAAAATACCGATTCATTTCAGTATGCTGGCGGTCAAGAGTAGCGTGCTCAATAATTTTGTTCAGCAATTCGTCTGGGGAACGAAGCCAGTGTATCTATTATTCATCGATAAATCCGACACTCACAAAAACGTGCTAATGCAACCGAAAATGTTTTCTAACTAGGGGACAGTACGGTTTATGTTTGATTGATAGAGCGTTTATAAATAATTGTGGACAGTCTATTTTTCCGATCTCCTTGTGAAAACCTGCATTGATACTACTTGTTGTACATAATATGCGATATGCGTGACACTAAGTAATCTTAAGTGAAACAAATTTTGTGGATTTTATCGCTTTTAATTTTAATTTCCCGACGTTTGAGGTGTTTGACGTTCTAATGTCATGTTTAACAAAGGTAAGCTCCAAATTAAATTTGTGTAGTTTTCGCGTAAATATAAGAAATCCCTAAGCGATCTACTATAATTTCCTTCTGGATTATGGGAAATAGATCGAATTCTCATTAATATCAATGGCTCTGAACTTAAAAATTATTTGTTTTAGGATTGGCTATACTGATATTGTCATTCCAATAGTGATTTCAAAATTTCCATGGGATTAGGTAAGATTTTACTTATCTTAAATATTGGTTAACTTTTAATAATAGAATAACTATTTCGTATACCATACTTAAAATATTAAATTGGGTGATAAAAATAAATACATGAATTGTGAGGTGATTGATACTCTCATCACCAATCAAGTGCAAAGAAGTGCAGAAAGCCTAATTTTAAGTAACCCAGCTTAGAAAGAATCAGTACCATTACCGTTACAGTCTATCAAAAGTCCACGGTTGAACATAGCCCTCACCCATGTACAGCCTCATAGGGGGTATATTTGCCATAGTTGCCACGCTTGGCAGGTGGGTTAGCAACCGAAACTTTTTTTATATTTTAGCTTATATTAGGAAAATGCTGCTACTTACCGCCTGGTTTGTTTTCGTCGGTCGCCTCTTAAGATACCCACGGAACGACTTTATAGGGAAGGTGGATATTCTTACACCGCCATTATTGTACAGTGTTATTATTGTACCATTATTGTACCTTTTACCTTACTTTCAACTTCCCTTGCTTTTTCCACGAGGAAATGCCTTCACATACTCGTACTTGTTGGGTTAAGGACGGCTTATGTCGTATTCACCTCGAATAAGGTCCATAGTGTTCCGCATATGGACAACGCCCGGAAATATTTTCTCACACATCCGCCACCTCACAATCGCCAGCCCTTTGCAGACTCTCTTTGGGAGAAACCGAATTCCTAACCAGTTCACAGGGCACGCTTTCACACAAACTCTATCTACACCTATGCCACTGACCGCTCCTGTAACCTCATCACCTTCCATTTTCAGGCTCTAGGGAGTCTAGCAGGGAAACAATTTATGACTTACTTACTAAGGTGTCATTTAAGTATGATGAAAAGAGGGGATATTGTAAAAGCGGAAAATATTATTTGAAACATTGTACAAATATCAAGCTTACTTGTAGGCTGTGCATTCTGCTGACTGATAGCGAACGCTCATAGTCAAGTAATAAGAATAAGCAACGTTTGGCCACCACTTGAAACAATAATTTTTAATATAAAGTTAAAGCAAAAAAAAAAAAACTTTAAACTAAATAATAACATAATTTCACATTCTGAAGTCGATGTTAAGACATATTGTGTAGAAGAATTAAAGACTTCATTCAGAATTTGAAATTATTTTAAATTACTTACAATTAGTTGGAGTCAGTTTTAAATTTATTTTATATTATCAAAAGTTTATATTTTACCTTTTTCAGTGAACGGTGGAATATCACAATCTCAATTTCGTCTCAATAGTACCATTAAGAACTTCATCCTTCATTTTGTGGTAAAATCTCTGAATTTGTAGGTATAAACCCCTACATTATAAAGAAAGAAACATCACAATGGTTCACAATTGACGAAGATATCGCATAACTACCTAAATAAAAATAATACAGTCGAATTGTTAACCTCCGCTTTTTTGAAAGCGGCTGCAAACTGCTTAGACTGGTGCTTAGAAAGACCGAGTAGAAAATTAAAGTGAACAAATACGAATCAACCGTTTAGTGGCGGTGTAAAAATATATTCTATTCTATTCTATTCTATTGACCTTAGTTATACTTTTTATATTACTTTATGCAAAAGAAAAGCGAGGAATAAAATAAAACTAATAAATACACAACGTCCGTTTTATTAATTTCAAGAATTCTTCACAATAAAGTTTTTATTGGATCGTATCCATAAACGACATTATGCACAGTATCAAAGTGCAAAGTATCAATGCACATTATAATTTCCCTTGACACAAAAGAAAACTTACAGCTTACTTCATACAAATTCCATACAAATATTTACATTAGCCCTTATTCACGAATATATTATTAGTTACTACTGTGAATCTGTGCTTATGCTCAAAGCGTTATTATATAACAATTAAATAAATATTGATAGAGAGCATGATGCGAAAAGCTATTTTACAATTATTTTATCAAGAATCACGGAATAAGGGCGAGTGGATTCTTAATTTAGATATACGATTACATAATATTGTCAATCTATTCATATAGAAACGTGATGAATAACTTAATAAAAAGAAAATGCGGTACCCTGTTAATATAGGGATTATCCCTCATAAACTTATGAAAGTTAATTCTTACGAATTTGTACAGACTACATATACGTATATCGTTAATATTTTTTTTTATGTAAACATAAATAATGCAAACGTGCAGAGAGCAATTGAGATTTGTTTTGTAAATATTTAATTTACTTAACTAAAATAATTTATTAATTAATCATAAATAAATATAATTTAACAATCATGTTCTATTTGGCGACAAGCAACAATTTTATGAATACATTATATTATCGCTTGAAAACAATGTAGCAACAAGTGACATTTATATTACTCGTATTAAGAGCCTCAAAGTTATAATTAAAATTTTATTTACCACCTAATTCGAACACTTTAGTGTCTATTTAAAAATAATCAACCTTAGGCCAAAATTTGCAATTTTTTCTACTTTACCAACATACATCATATGAAATATAGGGGACGATATTTACAATTTAATCTACCATTAATTTCACATTAAGAAAAATATTACTCTGAAATATGAAAATTCATATCATAGAGCTGTACATTTAAATAACTATAATATTTTTAAAACGCGAATATTATTTACGTTATTTTGTAATACACAAAAAGTCAATTTTCAAAATGTTTTATTTTACTATAGTTCTCTGCAAAGTTTTTTCAGTTTCTTGGTGTGACTTTGGACAATATGACTAGACGTAAAGCTGTAATACTTGGAATGTCACTCGGTGCATAGATAATCAGCATGGTGCCTGTAACAAAATATATTTTTTAGATTTTCAGGTTAAGCACAGATTTGAGATATTCACAGAATACCAGCGTAAAGTAGCAGATCAATGCTGCTGTGTTTCGAATGGTGAGTGTAGATAACCGGCGGCTTTTTTTACTGGATACAGTATTTTAGGCATTTTAGACGTCCGCATTTTGAATGGTAATGGAAGAGAAATGTAGATGTCTCTGGTATCAAATTACCACCAAGTGCACTGTGTGACCTTTTTCTATATAAAATAAACATTTTATTATAATAAGTGGAATGATTATAACGCGACAATAAAATAATGATAGGGCGCGGACTGCGAATTCAAAGCTCGTGGGTTCGAATCCACCATTCGACTACTATCGTGAACCGCTCCTAACACAAGAATTATAAGCTTACCTGAAGTGATTAACGGGAAGTAGTAATGTAAAGAGAATTGATAGTAGACAGGTTTTTTCAGTTCAGTAGTTTTATACGTGGTAGAGCCATGCTACAGCTATATTAATAGTATAGTTGTAGCACGAATGGGTCGGCTCGATCGGGGAAAGACAACGCTCTCACAGAATACCAGCATAAAATAGCAGCTTAATGCTGCTGTGTTTCGTAAGGTAAGTGTAGAGAACCGGAGGCCCTTTTTACCGGAAAAGAGGCATTCTATCATAGTCCTCACAGGTGACAACACATCTGCATTTTAATTCGCAAACGAAAATAGATGTAGATGTCTATGGGCCACAGCAACCACTTACCATGATATGGACTGTGTGCTCGTTTGTCACCCTTATTCTATAAAAAAAAAGACAAGAATTATGTGGATTATTAATTGTTTTTCAGTGTGAAGGGTATAGAGAGTCAGTAAAGTTACAGTCTATGAGGCATTTAATCGTAGTGCTTAGAGCTGACATCATATCTGTAGCCTTATTTGTTTGAACTTGGCTGCAAGTGTCCATGGGCTGCAACAGCACCTTACTATCACTTACTATCAAGGGGGCTAGTAGTCAAGCACTGGCATATAATCGTTAAAAAGACCTTCAGTTATCTGTGTTGAAGCAGTCATGTATTACAGGTAACCTGCTTATTCTTCTGACATAGATAGATATAAAAGCTTTGAAAGATGTATTTAAAATAGTATAATAAATTTTCTTACCTTAATGGATTTCCTATAACGTTTTCATTTGAGTACCAGTAGTGAATGAGCTAAAGCTGGTAGTAAGACCAATGCTATCAATGTGCGCGTGCTTGTACCTGAAAATAAAAACAAATAATATAATGAAAACAATTCATAATTAAGATAACGGCTCCGTGGCGCAGTGGCTTAGCATTGAGTTGTTGCGCTGGGGGCATAGAATAGATTTTTAAAAACATTTTAAAAATCTATTTTACAACAAAAGAGGTAAAAATAAACAAATTTGACAGGCATTGTAAGCGAGTTCAGGTAGTGATAGGTTGTTAGACACTCGACACAATGGCCAGTACTGCTCTTGACTTCAGAAGACATATATGCTTTAGTACTAGATGAAAATAGTGAGATAAAATAGCGATTTAACTTTCCCGTACATTTGTACGGAAAAGTTTAATCGCAAAAAAGGGACCTACAGAAGGAATGGAAACAGAAACATACACCTGACAATTACCAAGGAAATTGGAAAGAACTTCACACCGCTTTACTGTGATACTGTTTTCTGTTTTGGCGTATTATAGGCACTTCTTTGTAAAACTTACGCATAATTTAGTCGCTATACATTCACGGTCTCGCTTTAAAGCGTTCATTGCGTTGCGGTGAGTTTCCGATACAACTCGATCGAACGTAACTCAGGTCACTCTTTCCTATGGCACAGAATAAATAATAATATTACGTACATAAATACGTAACCTAAGTACTACGTACAGAAGTGGCACTCCTTTGATGTTGACTGCTTGCCGACGTTTTAATAGCCTACATAATTATTATTAAATAGATAAATCGCGCATGCAGGCTAAATAAAACTTTATCGCTTCGCGCAAGTTTCCATATTTTGCATCTTTTCCCCTTTCTACGTCACGGCGGACATTGCGTGGTTACCAAGGGCTGTCAATAAAGAGTAAAAAATACACTGGGAAATGGTGAGTAAGTTAGGTATTTAGTTAAAATATCTATTCTGACTACAATTGACTGACCATATTTACGCTGCTATGTGAGTTCTGTGATACCCAACGTAAGCAACTTGCAAGGCCATTCGTTCGGCTCACAACAAACAACAAATAAACCCGAAATACGAATCCTAACAGGAATGTGATCGTAGTCTTAGTTGAAATCTTGTAAACAAAGTTTTATTTTAAATATTTTGTGTGTATATCTTAAAATATTTTAATTGCAAAAGACAAGTATAGGTATGTAAGTAGGTACTTAGATAGTGAAGTAAATTTCAACTTAGTTTATTAATAAAGTACTTAGGTATTACTTCTGTAGTAAAATTATTACTTATTTCTTTTTTCGCTATAAGTACCTACCTATGTAACAAAAATAATCACTTTTCATTATCCTTCAGTAACTTAAAAAATTATATATCTAAATCCTTTTTTTTTGCTCATTAGGCATCCACCCACGCAAGAATTATAGTAGGAACGACATTTTGCCATTATAATTTATCAAATAAATAGGAAATACTATATTATTTTTAAATTAATTAAAACTTTTTCAACTATTTTATACTACAAATAAATATACTAAATACTAAACAAAAACTATTTTAACAAGTATTCAAGAAAATTATTTACGTAAACAGCGTTAAAAAACTTTAACATTCAATCGCCTAGAAGGCGCTAGCCCCGACTGCGCATGTAAGCCCAGGGCGCCTCGCGATTGTAGTTAATTATTTCACGCAGGTAGCAAGAGTGACAGAGGCCTGCCTATGGACAATAAATTGGACACTAAGTGAGGAGCACTCGGCGAGGCGTGCAGGGGGCATCAAGACAAACAAAGAATTTTATATACGAATATCCGGAGTGGTGCCTGCTCGCGTTGTCCAAAGCTGTATACATGAGTGTCTTCAGTAGCGCCAAGTTGTAAGGGAAAGATATCGCCACGCCACACATACTAAGTGGTAGGACTTATATACAGCCTAGAAGTCCGTCTGTCCACTCTCTTACTTTTTTTTAATGAAACATAAATGACAAAAACACGTGCGTGTGCACAGTGGCTATTACAGCCCGTTTAAAGTCAGTAAAATTATCATTATGTGAACTGTAATTTCGAAACACTTAACCTGAGACCTTACAGTTAGGTCTTACTGAAGAGCGTTCGGCGGGGCGGAACGTTCATCGTGAAAGGCAAATACACACTATTATATTACAGGTCTTAGTTTATTAGAGATTTCTTACCTTTAGAGCCAACAGCCGCAGCGAGTTGCATGTCGGCCGCGGTCGGCATTTCAGGAGTTGTGCTAATGGGTCCTAATGGAATAAACACATGTTTATAAAATAAAGAAATCGTAGAGGATAATGTAGGTTTTCTACTTGTGTTCCTTTTGTTTTGTATTTTTTTTAATTTTATTACTTGTAACTGTTCATATGGACGCCGACGTAGCTCACAGACTAAGCGCTCACTGTAAATATCACATTACGCGAGTATTCTGGGTTCGATCCTCGCCAGCACTAATAAAATTGTTAATTGCAATTTAAAGTGCTGTTCGCCATGTGCTCGATGACGAAGAATACATCATGAGTAAGCCTGCACGTCTTATAAATAAAATATATCGAGGAAATTTTGTATAGTCCGACGATGGGCACCAAAGTTGACGAATTGGTCCATAACCCCCTCAGAATTGGGGGGAAGCCTGCGGGAGGAACCCAGCAATGAGACGAACAAAGCAAGTAAGTGAATACACTACATCAAAAATATTATTATTACATTATCATTAATCTGGAAATGAAAAAACAGGCCAAGTGCGAGTCGGACTCGCGCACCGAGGGTTCCGAACAAATCCGTAGGTATATAAGTTTAAAATTATTAAAAATATTTTTATTATATTATGTAAATAAAAGTTTGTGCTTTTCGCAATTTTTCCTTTATCTGTGCTATAACACGTGGCTTCGTACCAAATTTTAAGATTCTGAGTTCACAGGAATTACCCTGTAGGTTTTGATTCCCTTGCGAATGACGAAAATTTGCGGCATAAACGGCTGTATCTTTTGATTGCGTTGACTTAGAAGTTTGATTTTTTCATAGCTCCAAGGGACAGTAGCCTTGAGTATTTGATATCAATTTCAGCTTGATACCTCTACGTGTTCCTGAAGAAAAGGATCTTGACAGACAGACAGACGGACAACAAAGTGATCCTATAAGGGTTCCGTTTTTTCCTTTTGAGGTACGGTACCCTAAAAAAACTAACTAATATGTTTAAGTTTTTACATAGCAGACTGTATCTGCTATTCTCGGGTATATTTTTTGGACTTGAACATAATTTTGAATATTTAATTAAACACGACTTAAAAAGAAACCTTTTTATTATTTGAACATAGATTTGCAATTTAAATATATCGGCTGTTTGTATAATTAACACCTTACATATATTTTCAGTCGCATGAATCGTAAGAAGATGCTTACAAAGTACTATTTCATTTTTTTAGCATATATAAAACGTTATACGTAGGTATTATTAATCTTCTGAAATTAAGAATAAGCGGGAATTATTTTTAAGTTGGAATCATGCTTGACTTGCCAGCCTGTTGACTTTTCATTAAGATCACTACGCTTTGAAGATGTGTTTGTGGTTTCCCTTAGCCACTAATTTTCTATTAGAGAACTTTTTTCACGCATAAAATGAAGTTAACGGCGCATAAAATTATTCACGGCAAATGCTGCAGGAAATGTTTCATCTCTCCTACAGTTTAGGTTGCTGGGTACACGAATCTTCCGTTGATAAAAAGCTTAAATGGCCTTCGCAAATTATTCTGCGAAATTGTTATTTTCGAGCCTTCCGAAAAAAATGTATATTCCCAAGCCATATTACTTTCGGCGCTGCCCTGTTTTAATGACGTTCGTCGACTTATAAAGCGGTTAAGTGGCTTGTTTTAAATAAATAAATAGCTTTCTGTTTATGTCATCGGACTTTATCCAGCCAGCGCTCTAACAAATAGCATGTCATTAAAATAACACGAAATAATGTTAGCTAGGTCTCCGAGATTTTTTACTTCATAATATCGTATTTAATTCAATATATCTCAAATTTTAAAGAAACAAATAATATTTATTTACGTATTAAAGAGAGGTTAATTTTAAAATATGATTTATATTTAATCAGTGAAGTAATACAAGTGAATGAGCTAAAACCAAATATTTGTACAAGATTTCTATATGTAGTATGTATCATAAGCACGTAGAGTACTTAAAAATTTAATTACCGTTAAATTTAATATTATTTAATTTTTATAAAAGTTTCGACAAAGTATATTTTTACGGCTGCAATGTTATTACTATTTATAATAACTACTTACATATTTACAAATATTTCCTTCAATACAAAAAAAAACTTATTACTTGTACTTATAACTATAACCGTAAAAATATAATACGAATACGGACTAATTTAATAAGCATCAATGTAGTTATAAAAGCTCTGATTTTCAAAAAATAAATAAATACATTCACTACAGTGAGGCTCTGTAGCGCAGGGCATAATCGTCGCGGTTTCGATTCCCGCAATCGACACGTACAACTATAGTCTACAAAAGTATTTTAAAATAGCGCTTAGTGCATTTTCATGTTCAATTTATTATTTTTAAACCTACATTTAGGTAAGTTTTAAAATAACATCAGAACTAATTATGGTAAAGTGTGTCAGTTGCTGAGCGATTACAAACGATTTCAAAATATTTAAAGGATATAATGTGATAATTTTGCACATCTACCTTAATTTTCTCACAAGGATTAAATATGATACACAAATAAATGGTTCTATTTCCGAAAACAAAAAGCTTTTTATTTATAATATATTAGTTCTAATTTATTTCCTCTAAATTTTCTTTATAAATTTTATTTTTATAGTATATTAGTTTTATTTTGTTTTCGACACACCATACTCACATATTTTTCCCAATGATTATAATATTATAAAGTATGTCACGCAATGGTTACTAACTGAACTGAAAACGCGTTGTGTATGAAACTGCGAAAAAATGCTGAGTTGGGAACATATTAATGAAAAGACTCGGGTTAGAGCTATTTTTATAAGTTACATGTACAGTCACTTATTAATTTGTTATTTTTATCTCTTTATCTTTGTTATGTATTTATAAATACACTATTTTTTTAATTTCTTTTCAGCCTGTAATCTTACGATTAGTACTTTTACCAGGGTGAAAAATTCTTTAAATATGTTGATGTTGCACGTTGCGAAGTTTTTGGGAAGATTTAACGAAAGTAGACACTCGATGTTGATACACGTCGGTAGTATATCAAGGCTTCTTTCTTTATTATTTGCCCGTAAACTTACCGCTAGACTTAGACTTCTCCCATTGTAAGTAGGATTTGCCGTAATTATAAGATTTTTCTGGCTTTTCCCATACTCGCCTCTTACAACGACTAAGGGACGATTTGGAATGACCTCATATATCGTGACTACAGGGCGAATTCATAGTTTTCTCTAATACATCCCATTCCAGATATTTTATACATAAAGTAACATCACTTTTACTAATTAAAATCTACTTCAAGCATGTATATAAATGATAACATAAGAGCAAAAATCTGTTTGCAACTTAACTGTCACCAAAACTACAAGCTATTTAATATTCCATTATGTTCTTTTCTATTGTAGAAAAAAAAATAAAAGGAAATTTTTACCCGGATAGTAAATTGCTTCTTTTCTTACTGCGTATTTTGCTAAAGGTATTCGGAGAGTGCAAATAAACTCCGCAGGTGAAGGAAGGTCAGCGTCGAGCAACGTAACCGAAGCTACCGCCGAGTATCTGCCGTTCACCAGTTTCAATTCATGGGAAACTCCATCCAGCCTCCTTTAAATAAAACACATAGATTATTATTGTTTACTAACCATGTATGTGTATGTATAGTGTAACAGTGTGATGAGTATATCTACTCTCAGTGTCAACTGCCCAATTGGTAAACAATTTTAAGTTCTTTAAAAAAAGAACTAGAAAATGAATCCATTTAAATGAAAACTTAATTATTTCTTAGGATGAAAATGTCACACACACATACGCGCACACCCACATGCAGACATACAGACACCAAAAGTATGAAAATATTTAAATTTCAATTTCAAAAATCGGATGGATAACCTAAAATAACATCCAAATGAAAATTAATAACAACCCCCGAAATCGATACACTGTGTTCTAACTGTGTAAATTCATAAGTCAGTATACCATAGTTCGATTTTAATTCATTTAAACTAAAATATCGTAACCAATAGTTGCAACACACCAAACATTAATTAAATAGTCTACTGTTAATTTCCAATATTATCCTTGATTACCAAGATAGAAAGCCTAATTATAAATATAAGGGGCATATGGTTCTCTACACTCACCATACGAAATACAGCAGTCTTTCACGCGTGTATTCTGTGAGAGCCTACTCCTTTCATGGTCGACCGGACCTATTTATACTGCAACCATAATATTATTGCAGTGTATTTCTACTACATGCAAAATGGCTCGTGTCAAGCAATGGAATTTTAAAGTTCGATAAAGTAGAAGACCGTTGCATAGTATACAGCGTTTTGTGGAGCCACACGCTACAGCCATAATGTTATAAATTATTTTGCTCAGAAAGATATATAGGCATGTCCAATGTTGCTCAGAGCTCATCTCATAAGCCTTATGTTTTAGTCAGACGCTGTGATAGCGCCCTGCCGTTTAATGTATATTTGTCCAGCACAAAGTAAGCGTGCGACATTTGGTGGACAAAAAATTATTGTAATTAAAACGTTTTTGCTTATTATCAGGACATAAAGGATCTTAATAAAAATGTAGATGATGATGAATCTAATTCAATAACATGCATTTCCTATTATCAAAAAATATTGTATGGTTATTGCTTAAAAAAACAGGAGTCTTCTTATAAAGTCACACCGATAGCAAGATTTTCTCATAGATTTATTTATTATCATTGTAAATATAAGTAACCAGTCTTATAATTATTTGTAAAACAATTTAGGGACATGTGTAAGTATGACCTCTTTTCTTAGCAAATTCTGTCCACATTTCGTTTTTTTTTTAATTTATTTCCAAGCGCCTGTTGGAAACAATATATTATCAAAATAATTTATACATTCTTTACTGAAGCTTATAGATAACGGTAAATTTTTGCTCAAAACCATACTATTTTAAACAAGAAATTCGATGAAAGGTGCACCAGGTGGCAGCTTTAAATCGGATTTAATTTCGAGCTGCAGAAATGTTGCCAATTTTTATTTTTACACTACGAAATACACGGAGAGCGAAAAATGAACTTTGATATTATATAGAAAATTTTCATTTTCAACGAAAATCAATTCGATTTGCTTAACTATTTTGAATTAAAATAATAATACCTTATTCCAATTTAACAAAATACACTAAACGTTCGTACCCCTCTAGGTTACTGTAGACTAGAGCAAAGCAATTACATGACATTCTTACTGATTTTCTAGATTTACCGATAGTCATGCTTAGTAGGCTATTAGGCAATAACTTTAATTATGTAACAATATATTTACCAAAGTTTGAGCTCACTTTGCAATGCAATAGCAATTTAAAAATCATAAGAAAAATGAATATTAATGATTGTGTGTGCTTTTTCTATGTGTTTCACGTATGTGTCTTTTCTACGTGAGGTGATGCGTGCGAGTCCGCGAAGGTTTAAGACAATAATAAATACTTATGTTTCTATTGGTCTTCATGAATGATTTAGTAGGAATTCATTCCTAGTGAATCATTCATCAGAATAAAATTAAACTTCGGCAACTTAATAGACCGTGAAAAGTTCTGACAAAAAGGCATGCCTTGCATGTCTAATACGATGCATTTTTGTTATTACAAAAATAATTTTCTACAATCGTCATGTAAACCAAACACACCTAAACCACCCAATCTTTAAACGTTAATATGTCTTATTCAAGTGAATTTAAACCTGTTGTCTCAAATTATACCGTTTCACTCATGAATCATATAACAACCAACATTGGTTATAATTGGGCTCCATACAAAATTACTTATTGTTTTCAATCACAAAAGATTCGTTACAAGCATTTTTTAAGCTACTGCTTCACAAAAAATAATCAAAATACATCTTATATAGGTTGAAGGTAGATAGAATTACAATATTTACTACAATAAAGGTACTAAAGAATTGGGGGCCTCTGTAATTTTACCACTCCATTACACTAGTCATTATGCAAACATTATTCACAAATACGAGTATTATTATTTTGTTGTCAAGGTGAAAATTCCTCCCGCAACGCAGCATAGGCACATGAGTAAAGAAACCGACTGTTTACTCATATGGTCCAACTAGCAACACGACTCGCGAGGTACTTTTTTTAAATAATTGACAATTTGTATTCTTTTTTTTTCTTTAAAAAAAACGTTACCCCCACACTAGGATTTTCTAGGTTTTTTTAATCTAATGTATTAATACATTAGATTAAAAACTGATCCAAACTGAAGCAAAGGAAAGGGAATAAAATATACAATGAGAGGTTGTTTGAAATTTTGCCCTGTTTTAATTATATCTTTGATAGCACTATCATAAGCTTTCGATTTTAAACTAAGTAACATGTTTAACGATCGTTGGGTACACCTCGCACTATGGGGAAGAAAGGGATGAAAGCTATTATATGAGAAATGCGCTGCAATCAACCAATACATTACTTATTGTAAGTAAACCGATACACATTGAAAAAAAATTAAATAAATAAAAAAGGTGTTATAGCTGTGGAAGTGATCTTTTCTAAACAACCTGTTCACGCAAAGAATTGTTCACAATTAATGGCTGGGAGGGGGTGAACATAAATTTATTTATTATAGAATTAGGGTTACAAGCGAGCACACAGCCCACCTGATGGCAAGAGGATGCTGTGGCCCATAGACATCTACATTTATCAGAATGCAAATGCGTTGTCATCCCTGAGAACTAAGATGGAATGTCTTGTATCCAGTAAAAAGGGTCTCCGGTTCCTCTACATTCACCATACGAAACACAGCAGCATTGAGCTTCTATTTAGCGCCGATATTCTATGATTTTTAATTATACAATTAAGTTAAAAATAAAAACACAAGATGATGACAGTTCAGGAAAGTAGGACGGTAGGAAACAAGTATGATAGGCCATATCAACTGACCAGTAAGCTTTATAGTTACAACAAGATAAAAACTAAACTTTTTTTGCGGTCCTCAAAATTTGTTCATGAGTGTATATAGAAAGATAAGATGAAATGAGTTTTTAAAAAGTAAAAAAAAACGCAAATCAACACAGAAAACAGAAATTAGGGGGGCCTGTGCCCAGCTGTAGGACGTATGTACATAGGCAATAAATTTACTTTTTCTTAAGCTACTTACCCTACATTTACTTTTGTTTATGAGTTTAATACACTAAACACTTAACTAATTTTCTTTTGTTAGGATTAGCGACACAGTTGCAAGACGTTTAATTGACACTCTAACACCCTACCTGCCAAGGGTGGCAATTAAGCTAAATCTACGAATAATCAACGGGAGAGGCCCACGACCAGCTGAAGACATTTACGGACCGATGTTGATGATGATGATTATAATATTAACATTTCATCATTCATTTATCATTGAAGCCTATCAAAGTCCACTGCTTAACACATACTTTGCCGAACAAGACCTCAGAGGGGCAATATTTGCCATAGTTGACACGTTTGGCACAGGCTGGCAGTTTTTTTTTGTAGTAGTGTTAACATAATATTGTAACTCTAATTACAGACAACAAAAATATGAAACACATACAATATTTAAAAACTGGGTTCAATGGCAGTATTAATTTGTTTTATTAGGAAAAGGCGTTATTGACAATGTCAAAGCTTTGTTAACAGTTTTGTTTGCGAATTTATTATATTAGAAACCAGTTGAGGCAAGAAATCGAGTAGAGGTTGGCTTGTACAGTCTGGCAGCGCGGTCTCCTATCCGCATGACAAGGCATTTGCGCCAAATATTCTCTAAAATGGAATAGACTTTGTCCTACAGGTTTTTTTATTGGATAAAGGTGACACACGAGCGCACAGTCCACCTGATGGTAAGTGGTTGCTGCGGCACATAGACATCTACATCTATCCTCTATTACAAATCAAAATGCAGATGCGTTGTCACCCGTGAAGACTAAAATGGAATGTCTCATTTCCAGTAAAAATGGTCTACGGTCCTCTACACTCATCATACGATACACAGCAGCGTTTAGCTGCTATTTTACGCTGGTATTCTGTGAGAGCGTGGTCCTTCCCCGGTTAGCCAACCCGTTCGTGCTGAAACTATAAACTTAAAAAAAAATATTTTCCTTCATCTAAAATCGTACAGACACTTTTTTTTGTGATAATTTTGCTGACTACTTATTGAATTTTACGGTATTTATATGTTCTCCGCTTATATTTGAGACTTAAAGCCGCATTTGCATCTATGTAGTGGCTACTTACGTAATCAGCGCAATAAAGTACGTAACATCACGCAAGCATGAACGTATTGATGTAGGCCGGTTGGTTGGCGATAAGGTGCAATTGCCTTGTAAGCCAATTGCTGTGTAGAGCACACGTCTTCGATTTTATACGACCTCGACACGTTAGAAGTAATAAGTTCCATACGTTTTAATTTGAAGCAAAATTATTATTGTATCTGTCTCTGCTAGAAATTATTGATTGCTTTAAGAGCAACCTAGATGATTTGTTAATTCGTAAGGCAGCTTTAAAAGTGTACGTATTTATAACTACCCTTTGAAAATGATGGAAGATTTTAAAAATGTTAGTACGCGTTTGTTGGCGCAGATGGTGTTGCAATATTCAAACTACACTACAAAAGAATAAAAAAGTAAGTAACTTACCTCTCAGGTGTGGCTAGCGTGAGGTTCGGTGCAGGAAACGCTCCGTCCGCAGCACATATGACGTTCACAGTATCATCGTCAGTCTTGTTCTGGATCAGGCGGAAGCTCGTCTCCGGTACTGAAACATGACACCCATAAGGATATTTTGTAAGATGGCAGGTGAGGGTTAATGAACTGTAAAATACAAGCGCGTGCTAAGATGGCAAACTTCTCTCGCGTAATATTAAGTTTCTTGAAGCATTTTTTTTTTACTTTTAACTCGCTCTAAGATGAAAATTATTTTTAACCAACTTGAAAAAGGAGGATGTACTCAATCCGACTGTGTTTTTTAATTTATTTTTATGTGTATTATCTCACAACTTTGTTTTACGTAATCGATTTTGATGATTCTTTTTTTATTTGAAAGCTGGTGCTTTTCGTGTGATCGCATATAAATTTGATCAAGGTCTGACAGGTAGTTTTTGAGTTAAACTTAATAATTTATATTGAAGTCAGTTGTACAAAATTTTTAATTTTACAACTTGATTATTATTGTAGATTACAGTTTCTGTTCACTATTATCACATTAACAGGCTTTTAAGACTACTGTTCAAAGAGTACAGTCATATTTCTATTCAAGAATGGCGAAAATACGTAAGAATTTTAAAATATTACAATTTTTATTTAATAAATAAGTAAAGTGCCGCTTGCTGGCGGCTTATTAAGGGAAATAATTACCCTCATGTGTGTCGTACAAATATTTTTTCTGGGTCTGGATATTTGTCCTTGTGTCCTTTAGATATTAGACTAAAATTCATCAATAATTATTGTAAAGAAAAATGTATTGCAACTTATAACTATTCAGTTAAAATTTGCACGCCTTGATAAGGCAGAATGTATCGGAACTTTATGCTTTAATAATACTTTTGTAAGATCTACCTACATTCTAAGCAAATAAATAATTATGAATTATGAATTATGTGCAATTTGTGTATGTAGAAATGTAGAAAATGTAGAAAATCTTAGTGTAACGTTACGGAGGTAACGTATAAAAAAACCTCAGTTTCACACTCTGTTGCACTAACTTGGTAGACTAGGTCAGCATAACAACAAGTTGAATCACACACAATATAATCAGAGAAAACATATAAACGAACTATTTATTAGCTTGTTCAGGTTGTTCACTTTATTTTACCTATGCTTAATTTTGTAAACACACAAGATATAAGAAGCTAATTTCTGATGTAATTCCTTATAATGTATTATCATCAATATATAATAAAATCCCCATATCCTAGATCCACAAGTCACAACCCTTTACGTAATATGTTTGAGCCTTTCAATCGATTATCGTCATAAAGCATTTATTTTAGTTCGTTAGCTTATTAATATAAGCTTTATTACATTTGTATAATTCTTGAAAAAAATTGTTTTGTTGATTAGACTCGATTTTAGCCTGAAATAAACTTGGTTATAAGGCTTTTCAATACTGTCCTTAATATCAGATCGGACCGCTTTAGCGACATAAAAAAGTAAAACCGACTTCAAAAAAATTTGATTAATATTTGTACTTTAGTAGTTACGTACTGTAGATAGTGGCCATAGCGTATAACTGTCCAAAAACATAACGTGTTATGATTAAATATATACTGATCACTATTTCAATACCCTAAGTCTCCTTAAAATAATTATTTTAAAAATGGTCTTTCACAATTGACTACTGCACGGAAGCCCGCTTCCGTTCACATCGGAAACCTCTTTGATTTTCCTCTTCGGATAGTTTGGCGGTATTTGCGGTAGTCTGTTCTATTTTCCGAATAACAGATACTGATGTTTTCCGATTAGAATCGAAGTTTCAATATTAGCAACAGTATTAACATAAGTTTTGTACAATTAATAATATATGAAATAAATATTTAACCAATAAAATGTTGATTAACTATCGAATAATAATTGTTTGTGTATTTTTAAATTATTACTTACAATCCAACGGCTTTATTGTATTATAGCAACGCAAAGTTCAGGAAAGTGAAACAAAAATATTGTATAAGCAAACGTAGAACATGATAAACTATTTCAATTTTTTGTGAAACAAAAACATCACTATCAAGTATCAAGTGTCAGTTTACGCCAGAGTTTATGTTTTCCCGGTTATTGTTTGTGTAGTTTGTTTTAAGCTCGTCTTATTTTGTATGTAATTCTATATATAATCGCACTGGAATCAAACAAAAGAAGACGTATGGCAAATTTTACTACTCCTAAGATTCAAACCAAGTATATCAAGTGTCAGTTTACGTCCGAGTTTATGTTTTCCCGGTTATTGTTTGTGTAGTTTGTATTTAGCTCGTCTTATTTTGTATGTAATTCTATATAAAATCGCACTGGAATCGAAGAAAAGAAGACGTATGGCAAATTTTACTACTCCTAAGATTCAAACCAAGTATATCAAGTGTCAGTTTACGTCCGAGTTTATGTTTTCCCGGTTATTGTTTGTGTAGTTTGTTTTAAGCTCGTCTTATTTTGTATGTAATTCTATATAAAATCGCACTGGAATCGAAGAAAAGAAGACGTATGGCAAATTTTACTACTCCTAAGATTCAAACCATGTATATCAAGTGTCAGTTTACGTCCGAGTTTATGTTTTCCCGGTTATTGTTTGTGTAGTTTGTATTTAGCTCGTCTTATTTTGTATGTAATTCTATATAAAATCGCACTGGAATCGAAGAAAAGAAGACGTATGGCAAATTTTACTACTCCTAAGATTCAAACTTTAACTCTGACAAGACGACGAATTTTTTTTTGAATCCTACGTAACTATAGTCGTAAGATCCAGATCTGAAGATTTTAATGTTTCTATCAGGTAAATTTAACAATTAATTTATCAAAGTTTAAGAGATCCGTGGTGCAGTGGCTTATAAATGAGTTACGGCGCTAAAAGCCCCAGGCTTAAATCCAAAATCAAGTATTTGTATGTCCAACAAGTTGTTCAGGTCTGAATGTTTGTCCTTTTGAAATTTATTTATGTAAACTACCCCTCCATACATAAGAAAATTCTAATGTAGGGTTACAATTAAAAAGAATTTAAAGAATATGTTTTCTTCTGCCAGCACCATTTTTATATATCCGCTCATTTTTTAAGTTTTTTATTTCGTTAACATCTATTTCATCAGTATTGGCTCAAATGTTCTATAGTATGAAATCTGAATTTATTATTTATTTTAGTTTTATATAGTTACAACCTAATACGGGACGTATGGGTTGAGCACAGATATAATTTCATTATTTCATAATTTCAGATAGCGTTTTCATTTCATCGAGATTCAAATCACAACGATTCTAAAGAAATGTTCACTTCAATTAAACATGTTTTAATATAGAATAAGGATGACAATCGAGCACACAGTCCACCTGATGGTAAGCGGATGACCCATATATCTAAATTTATCCTAAAAATGTAAATGCGTTGTCGCCCCTGATGACTAAGATGGAATGCCTCGTTTCCAGTAAAAAGGGTTTCCGGTTCTCTACACTCACCATACGAGACACAGCAGCCGTAAATTGCTATTTAACGCTGGTATTCTGTGCTTGGTCCTACCCCGGTCGAGCATTCGTACAACTAATATAGCTGCAGCATTGCTCTACAAAGTAAAAAAAAATTACAACGGTAGATACACTGAAGATGTATAGGTTAGAGAAACGCCTTTTAAGCTAGCTGTTTCGTACTCTAAATCCGCTGCTTCTTTTAAACATTTCAAGAAAAAGCTTAAGCTTTATTTGAATAAGTTTAAAAGTGCATTGCTTGCACAAGTTCCACTCGCTATTTGTAACAATACTCCCGCGTGCTTTAGACTTAAAAATCAACTTTTTTAAAATATTCAAATGAAATTTTATTTCAAAACATTTCTTTAGTAGCTTTCGACAGCGTTCATAATTTGCCATCCATCCATTTAAGGCTATAAAAGTCCACTGCTGAAAAAACCTTTCTCATAGATTACCATAAGTTTGTGCCATATTCGCCACACTTGGTTGGTAGGCAAATGTTAGCACTGGGGAAATATTTTTTAAATTTTATTTTTTCAGCCAGGCGCTGCTGTCCATCTTCTGTTTTATATTCCATCCGTCGACACCCACGGAAAGGTATGGGGTAGTGTATATTTTTACACCGCTACTACACGGTTTGTTCAGAGTCCACAAGGAGGAGCCATTGTAGCACGGGTTGCCCTAACCGACGTCGTCGTTCTAAATACTTTAAGTTATACCGCCATCCATCGGGAGCTATGAGACCTTATTACGTTTGCCATAGTCGCCTTTTACAAACAAAAATAAATGGGGGAATTTAATTCTCTTATATCATTACCACATGGTATCTTAGTATATAATGGCTATGAGTAGGGGTGACCTTAGAAATTTTTGCCGCCGACCATCGTCTGCACAGCACCTTTGTATGGTACAGAGAGCCATTATCATTACAGCCTGAGAGGTATTTCATCTTTTCTTCAGAATAGAATAGAATAAAATAATTTTTATTCAATATCGAGCGAGCACACAGTCCACCTGATGGTAAGTGGTTGCTGTGGCCCATAGACATTTACATTTATCCTCGTTTGCGAATCAAAATGCAGATGCGTTGTCACCCGTGAGGACTAAGATGGAATGCCTCTTTTCCAGTAAAAAGGGTCTCCCGTTCTCTACACTAACCATACGAAACACAGCAGTGTTAAGCTGCTATTTGACGCTGGTATTTTTATCACTGGTTCGCAAAAAACCCTCCGTCCTGGGAAGAACCAGCAAGATACCCAGTGTGACTTTTTTTAAAGCACAATTTACAATATAATATTTTATACGATTATTATAAAACATTTAGAAACAGCGTGGTAGTGATCACCTTATTCCCAGAGGTTATTATCAGTCATGTACTCTTTAGTAGTATAATAACCCTTACTAGACAATTTTTGATTAGTAAATAATTTCGGCTTTGATTAGTAAATTAAAGACGGCTCCGTGGCGCAGTGGTTTAGCAATCAGTTGTTGCGCTGGGTGCCGCGGGTTTGAATCCCGCACGGAACAAGTATTTGTATGGCCTACAAATAATTGTTCCGGGTCTGGATGTTTGTCCTTGTGCAATTTATGTTTGTAAAC